TAGAAAGGCAGGATTTTAAAGCTATTATAACAAAAAATGTATAATTTAAATTCATGTACCTTTCATTTCATTTGAAGAGGAGAGTGGAAGAGATTTGTAAGTTGGTTCCAGCTGAGGCTGTGGGGGGCTTGCCTTGGAGCTGTGGTTGTAGATTTGTGCGAATAGGTCATTGGCGCACCGCCATGCGATCCTGATGAAACCTTGCTTTTTCTTCCTCCGTCATCTAACGGACATCGTCAGAGCAGGGCACCATCAGTGTCGCAGGGCTGTGCAACGAGGACCTATTGGCACAAATCTACAACCACAGCTCCAAGGCAAAGGCCCCACAGCCTCAGTTGGAACCAACTTACGAATCCCTTCCACTCGCCTCTTCAAACGAAATAAAAGATACACCAACATAAAACTATTAAGAAATTCTCCGAAACCAAGTTTTCCGCATACCTATATAATTTGATTGTTTGCTAGAAAGGATTTTAAAGCAATCATTTCCAAGGCCTAAATCTTGCAAGAATATGGTATTGAATGAAAAGATTTGTTTATTTTGCTAAAAAGATTTTTTTTTAAAAAGCATTTTATTTGTCTATATATCTTCTTTTTTAATCTAATTGTTGTTTATCTTATTTTTAAATACTTGTTGCTTACTTTCCTTGTGCATTGCTTATTTGATACAACGGTTGAAGGTTGAATCCTACTAGCAAATAGTTTGGGTTTTGAAGTCTTTATAGTTGTGGAAATGCGTTTATTTATAGTCATTGTCATACAACACACTTTATTTTACCTTGTACCTTTTTAGACTTTACTAGGTAAGGTCTAAAGAAATTATTCATTCTATTTCCGCTAAGGTAAGGAAGGACTTGCAGTAGACTGCCCCATGATGCTATAATTGGGCCTCATATTTCCAATTAATTTAACAGAGTCTTGCTTCGAAAAGGTATCCGATCTCGTCTATATCTCATAGGGTCTCCCAGTTTAACTCGAATTCTGGCATGGCAGCTTATAGTCTGGGCATGCTATCCACTACACCACACTTCCACGAAGGCCTTGGGGTCGCAAGTCAGAAGTGAATTTCAAATGAGACATAACACATTTATATGGTGTGATTTTCGACGGAGCAAAGTTATATTTACTATAGCAACGACTACGTTACTTATTTTCGTTTATACGTGGGTTTCGATTTAGTATGAATACATATATATGGTCTACTGGTAGTCTACCTATGGATCAAAATCTCAAAGAATGCTATTTGTAAATGATCCCGAATGAAGCATATGAAATCCTTAAGGCATAGGAACGGGAACAATAATTACATTTTAGGTGATATATTGGACAAGGCATAACTATACAAGAATCAAACCACGTCATTATTAGAACCTGGTTAGTTTGGGCGAATGAGTAAAGAAAATAATATTAGTAGATTTTATACTGCTTGGTATAAAGTTAAAATAAAACTAATTTGCCAACTAGACATTGTTATACTTTGCATTCTAAAGTGTTCTATCAAATTGGCCTTACAATACTATTTACTAATAGCTCCTAAATAAAAAAAATGTGATTTAATCCTTCTTATTACAGTTTAAGATAAATAAATCGCTTAAAAAGCGATCTTAAATTATCGAATTTCTTTATGTAAAATATGATCAGAAGAAATAATTTGCTTTTAAAGGATAATATGGGATACATCCAAACACTTGGTTTGAACTGCAGAAATATTGAGAGAAATAGAAAGGAAGCCATAGTGAGTTGCATACCTATATAAGAGTTATATATTAGCTCTTGATTTTCTTATTCAGAATATCAGCATACTATTAGACAGTAGGAATAATCAGCAGAAGAGATTTCTTAATGATATGGGTTAAATTTACTGTTGCTATGACGTACAGGCACTTATAACAACGCGTTAAACCTCTTAGGCAAATACCAGTATTTCATTCGCTTAATTGACTTTGGGATATTCCTAAACTTATTCAAGTTAAATTGATAATATCGGATCCTAATCATTAAGAAAATAAGTAACCTTTTTGATCTCAAAGACAAATATAAGTTCGTTCCATCGACACTC